TTTTGTGAGGCCTTATTTCACTAGTCGACTACTAGCAGACACAAAGGGATAACACTACACCTATCGTCGCCTCAAAACTCTTTTGTCCAAAGTGTACTTACGTACTTAAGTAACGAGTTCGCTTTGGACAAAGTAGTTTTAAGGCAACGCTATGTGGTGAAGTCTTTGCATATTGAACCCCAAGGGGTGGGTCTTGCAATAGAACTCTTTGTTCCAAGCTCAACTAGAGTTAACACTACGGCCACGTGACACACAATAGAAGAAAACATTGGGATAACTAGCGATGTCCAAATTATCTTATTTTTTCCCCTTAAAGTCCTTAGAGTGTAAAACAATGACAACATAAAAGTAGAAAAGGAAACTGTCTAAAATAACTACAAAACGGATTATCCTAATCCAAAATACAAAAACTTAAAAAAATTCGGCGTAAAGAAATAAAAAGTATCTGGATTTATATTTCAAGTTCCTTTAAAAATGTGACAACACCGGCCCCCTCCCACTCCTTCCTTTCCCTCCCCTGTAGTCTTTAATTGTTTCTTTGCTTGTATAAATTCATCATTTGTCTGTTGTTTTTCTTTCGTAGATGTCGTTTGGTGTTCTTGGTTTGCGTTGCAAAGTGCACACAATTGTAAGAAAAAAGGATGAAATACTATAAAGAAAAAATGGGTCTCGTATCTATTTATGTTGAATTCTATTTTTCTAGCTTGAGGACAAAAAGATTGAGAAATAACACAGTTTTAAGACGTATTAGCAAAGGGGTCGGGAACAGGTCCTGTTTTCTTTGTCCATAACCAGTTAACCTTTCTTGCACTGTCTTTGGAGCCGGAAGCTCCAATCCCAAAGAAAAGATTAAACTGTCAACTGTTCACTTTGGGAGAAGATTTAGGTTCGTACTTTTACTGTAATGTTATAAGTTACGACGAGAGACAACACAGTGAGTCTTAAACCCATGGACAGCTACTGACAGATGGAGACATCGGGAAGTTTAAGAGTTGACACAGTTTAAAGAGATAAATTATATTTTCTTCGTGTGTTTGATATATTCTAAAAGGGAAAGTATTTGTGTTTTAGTCTCAGGCTCAGCAGGATGGATGAGGTCGGAATAAGGTGGTTGAACTTTTAGTTGACCTCTGCGCCCTGAAGAATATGATTAATAAACAGACTTTGCTAGTCGGGTTGGTTATAACGTCACCCATTGAGTTTATATTTGAAATATAATAATATGTAGTGTTTAAGACTTTGTTCTTATATGGGAACTATATTATGTTCCTCAGTTTTCTCACAACTTTCAAGAATTGATCTCTCTCTCTCTCTCTCTCTCTCTCTCTCTCTCTCTCTCTCTCTCTCTTTTATTTTTTCTCTCTCCCGCTCTCTCTATCTCTCTTTATCTCCCGTACTCTCTCTTTATCTATCATACTCTCTCTCTCTTTGTCTCTCTCTCTTTCTGTCTGTCTCACTCTCACTCACATAATCACACACATCGACTCACACACATACACCTACACAAATACACACCCACATACACACACATACACACACACGGACACACACTTTCACACATACACACATACCCACACAAAATCGATCCACAAATACATATACATTTAAACACACACACACACACACACACACACACACAC